AAAGCAACGTCGAAATGAAAACAAATAGTTTATTATGCTTGTTATTGTTATCACAATTCTTTTTTTTTTCGTTGCTTATTAGACCATCACATATACGAGACAATTTGCTACAGTGATTTTCGATGTTGAAGATATACCCTTTTTGCTGGAAAAATTGACAAAGTAAATTATAATTTATAGCAAAAAGCTATAAAAAATAGCTTGAGAAAATCTGATAAGCAATTTGCGAAAACGTTTGCAATGGGATTTCAAACTCTATTGTATTGATGGCGTTTTCTTTTTTTTCGTGGCACGTTTCAACACTGCACCGATTTTGTTGAGCATGATAATTTTCAACTTCAACGCTATATTTGGAGTGTGTGTATATTTTGTGAAGTGAAGACAGTTTATACGAGGAACCTCTTCAGGTCTTGAGTTTATTGTTTGTGTGAAAGCGTGAATAAGCCAATCAGTCTGGTATGGTGTATATCTATGCACGTGAATCGGACATTATATCCCATATCATTGAACGGTTGTGTATTTACTTGGACGACCAAATAAGTGTTATAATCCGATGAACATGTAAGTCTATGTGATAACCACAAAATCGAATGATAAAGTGCATTGATTCGATTCAATATTGACACGGGGTTTTTCGAACATACACAACAAGACTTGCTTCATGATTTTAACAAGATAAGGCACATTTTTCATGGTATTTATAGAAATCAACGCATGAGAGTGGAAATCTAAAGTAGTATATTCAATGATAATGGCCTTACGTAAACCAAAACGCACGTCTAGACGAGCGCACAGTGCCCAATTGACCCAAGAGACCAACAGGCAAAAATCACTCACACATAAACAAAAACATAAAATCAACACAAAAATGCTGGCATCCCCACAAATCGAATCACAGCATTCATTTCGAAATTAGATTTCTGATGAACTGAGATCACGAATCATCGAACAATTCCCAAAATGTCTCAAAGTGCATTTATCTCAACACTTGGACCACATTTAATTCAATCATTTTGTTTTCGTTTCAATATTACGGCACCAAACAACCGTATTGACACTTAGAAGATGAAGCAAAATGAAGATGTGAAATCGCCTAAATCCAGGGGCAAAAAACTCTTTCTTGGGCGTCAACATCATTTCAATAAAAAAAAATCTTTTCACTTTGACTTCAAATGCTTGGTCTATATGCAAATCGGTAATAACTTTTTTTGGTTGGTAACATAACTTTTCCGCTATTTCCCCTTGTCATAAATATCATTGGAATGTTTTTTTTTCTTTTTCCGTCAGTGTTCATTCAACGAGCTTGAAAATTTGTCTTTTGAATGTCATTAAACTATGGTATTGCCATGTAATACAGATATTCACTATGGGAAAAGCGTATCATATTTGTCAAAGTCGAACTAATGGCATATTCAATCATCAGATACGAAGTATTATCGTAACTTGACATCTTAATGCAGATTTACATTTTTTCACTCTCGTCTACCTTCGCGTGTAACACAGAATTGACAATCACCCGCTATGTTCTATTCGATTAATCTCTCTCCGGATATTTTTTTTTCGCTGCAGATATGCGTTCAATACTTGAATTATTGTGCTTTTCATTTCCTTCTTACGGACGATGGAAATTCGATGGGAGTGATATGAAGACTGCATGAAATGTGCGTTCAATCATCTTGTCGACATTTCCGCAGGTGCGAACCTCAATCGAAAACGACTGTTGTCATACGCAAACACCTATCACTCCAAACGTGATGTGCTTCTGACATTTTTACTATTACACACAAAAATATGCCATAAATAAAGTCAAGTGAATTGACGACCACTTTATATATCTTTTATTTAAAAAAATCATCAAACGCAAATGCATTCCATGATTCTGGGGCACAATCTAAACACTGTTATACCCACTCAACTGATTGCCTTTTCACGAACTTTCTACGGTGGTTGTCAGTCGAGCCGAGCTGTCATATTTAAATGCATTTCAATGATTTTCTCATTTTGCCTTCTGCTAGTAGTACTAACCACATACTACTCGTAGGCCACGAGCTACAAATAAAAAAATGTCATATGACAAAATAAAATCCATACGATTATAATGTAACATGAAATGTATGGAACGGCACATCAATCAATCTTATGCTTTGAAGTGAGCCAAGTTTTGGTGGTGCAAGGATGTTATTCTAACTAAGGATGTTATTCTATGTTATATTCAAATATGCGAAAAAGCTATATCCATTGTTTTGTAGTAAAAGAATGTAAATTTTGGAATACTACATATGTAAACGATTTTGCTTACTTGAAAATCATTTATTTATAACAGATCATACTTTAATTGAACCATTGGAGAACCACACATTTCAGTTACAATGTCATAGGTCAAGACTGAAGGGTCCCGATTATCCGATAAGCAGAGATTATTTCGATTTGCTAGGGTTTTTTGACCACAATTCTCTCCCTCTAATATATTTTGATCCGAGTAGAATCAAAAAGTCCTTTTCAAGATTTTACACAAAAATGGACTAAACCTTTTTTTTTACTTTTTTGAAAAAAAAAGTGAAATTACAAAGTTAATATTGCAGGAACAACTAATTACTACAGTTGGCTCCTCGTCTTTCCGCTAATCTTTACATTTCGAGAATGGAAATCAGAAAATAGAAAAAATTGAATTAATTACTTTGCAAATTACTGGTTCTCATTTAGTCGATAACATCAATAGAAATTGTCAAGCAAAAATGCATTGTTTCAATGAGTGCGATTAAATTTAAGTATATGAAGTGATCAGCTGTGCGTGGGTTTGACATTTTTCATCGGTTCACGCTTTTTTGTGCAACAAATTTTATAATAGCATAATGCTAAATACAACAAACACTTGAACTTTTAACGAAGACAGAGAGAGAAAGCGAGAGAGAGAAATTGGCGTTCAAACTTGGCGTTTCGTTCAACTTTTTATTTCAATTTAGTGCTTGCTAGATAATCATTTGATTCTCATCGAATATAAAATTTAATTGCGTATGTCATTTAAGTATATAGCTTTGAACGAGGGCAAATGAGAAAAAACGAGAAATCATTATAATATTATGCACGGCACTAAAATGTTAAGGGAGGAGAATGAAACAGCATTTGCGATTCGAATGAGAGTGGCCTTGAAATGCGTGTGACAATGTGCTTATGCCTGGGTGAAATTCTCTTTTAAAAAAAATTCCATTTAATTTGTTGTTTGTTTGTTGGTGGTGGTTGATATTTTGCATTTTCATCGTAGAATGTGTGGTGTTTTCGGTGAGTTTTTTTTTCAAATGGGCGTATACAAATACAAAGATTTAAGTTTGTTCGTGCACTTGGTGCCATGTAATTTCGGTGATATTGCAAAAGCATGTAGAATAAAGTGTTTGACATAATGATCTAACAAAAGCGTAATTTAAAGTAGTACTAAATGAATTTGGTTTGACGCGTGTATTCTGTGCAGCGTGTGACAAGAAGTAGGTTTTTCGAGAAGGCCCGGCACTGTGATGATGATGGTGTTGGTGGAGACTCCATTAGTGTGGGAACAATGTTATTCGAAATGGAATGAGCTCTTGGGCTTATGAGTAAAGAATGGATATATATATATAAGCATGGATCTGTTGCCGTTGCTGAAACAGGGAACCGAGTCTTGGCAATTCGCTTGCGATAAGAATGACTCGGTAGAATGCGTTGCAAAGCAAAGCAGATAATGATGATGTCGGATATCTTACTTTTTCCGTTTTCCTGCACAGTGTGCTGTCGTGATGTGTGTATGGCGCTCAATATCAACATCGTACAAGCATGAACTGTCGCGAAATATCAGGCATAATATGTAAATATTTGCCTGCTTTTCATTTAACATTTTTCGGCGTTCTCTCTCTCTTTCTGTCTTGTGTACCCGATATGCTGTTATTATTATTATATGCTAACCTGAACATGCGTGTGCTCTCTCTCTCTCTGCGTATTTATATACACATTATGTAGCTATTTGCGGCCTCATTCGGAGCACAACGGTCTGAGTATACATTTTCTGTTAGCACATTACACACACAATTTTCAGAATGTGAATGAGTGCACAAACGCGGTGCAAATCAATCCACTCTGTGAACAACCAAACAACCATAATTTAAGGCTTCATCATCTCATCTAATACCTTGGCACTCGATATTACCTCCGGCATTCGACATTGGGAAATAATCTTTTCATTTTCGTCCTCCTGTTTTTCATCTTCTTCTTCTTCTTCTGCATGTCACTGATACTAACTTTATGTACGCACCGGATAGAATATGGCAAATAACAGCTAACAACAACATTTCAAGGCAAAAATTCATTTGATTCCTTGGTTCCCGATTTCATATACAGATCATCAATGTATTTTTTATGCTTTCATTTTAAAGTATATGATTTACTCATACAAAAAATAGATAGTCGCGACGTGTAAATTGTATGTGACTTTAAATGATTCAAAGTGTCACGGCCACGGTCGTCTCATATTATGCGTGTAACATTTCGTTGAATACACGACGAGAATTCAAATCGGTATCATTTTCTATTCAAGTTTCTTTATCTGTTCTTTGTAAAAAAAAAATATAACATCATTCCGAAAAATGAAAGAGAACATATTTGCTCCGAATTGAAGAAAGGAATTTTGGGAGAAATGTACTTTTAAATTAAAAAAAAAAAAACAAATATATATTTGAAAATATGTTAACATCATTTACCCATCTAGTTCCAGCTTCCAACTTCGAACTTTGCCTTCAAATTTAAAATGGTTTTTATTATTTTTTGGATGTAAAAAGGTAATAATTGCAGAATAGTGTAATTCAAGTGGAAAGTCAATGGCATAGACTTTGATATATTCAAGAACTTTGTAGTCGTAACGCATTTCTTCTTGAAGACTTGAAAGTCTTCTCAAATAAATGCCTTTTTTACTATCGTAAATTAAAAAATATTTTGAATATCATATCTCGAATCGCCAAGAAGTTTAATGTTACGAACTAAATACGTATATCAATTTGGAACACGTTTACAGCTGTGGATACATCTGAAATTGTGTTTGCTTTCAAAACCTATAACGTCATAACTTTTAAACTTGGCAAACTAAGTAGAGTATAAAAAAATTGTGGAGGTAATTTTGGAGAAGCAATGTACAACGTTTTAAGCGTTGATGATTGATATCTTCATAATTTTCAGTATTTTACACGTGTTACAAAAACAGTATAAATATCGAGTCATTTCATACCTAATTGTTAAAAAATATTGATTTCTCGATGAATCTGAACAATATTATTATTGAGGAATATTAGTTTCTAGATAAATCGAACTAATATTGTATTGATGATTTAAACAGGTTTTTTTTTTTAGTAAGAACATTTTTCAACAAGGAACTCTTTTGCAGCTCTGAATAAAACGTTTTAAAACGTGTAACATAATAGCGAGTGGAGTTGGCAATCCAAGAAGACAGAGTGGGAGGTAAGTTCAAACGGTTTCGAAACATCCGAGGAGGTAATCGGGTGTCATAGAATGGAAGACCCAAAAAAGGTCTTTGCTTTCGAAATTAAAAGATATGAATCTCAATTTTTTGGAAAGTGTTTTCAAATCTGTTCTTCAGGGGGGATAATCTGACCTTTTGGACCCCTAGCTAGAAGCAATTGAACTTTTAAAATAGTATAAATATCCATCCATTTCGTATGAAAATGTAATCATTGCGAGCTATTCTTATTTTCTTCCTTGCCCGTAATTAACATTTCTTTTATTTTAATCTTAATTTTTTTGCTTTTCTACACCCAAGTCAATATAGTGTTTATTATAGAAAACAGAATGATGGTTTCGTCAAAAGGAAGATGGATTATTTTGGCATTCGTTCTGAATTCATTGAGTTCATGTAAATCCTTGAAAATAGCTGTAATTGGAGCCGGTGCATCAGGTCTAGCTGCTGCAAAAAATGCCATCGAACAAGGACACATAGTAGATGTCTTCGAAAAGACCGGACAGCTTGGTGGAATATGGTACTATACAGACGATGTCGGATTCGATGAATACGATGTTGAAATTCATACTCCGATGTATAAGCAACTAAGGTACACATACACATTTTAACAGATATTATCGATTTTGAAGTAAACATTTGAGTTGCTTAACCTTATATAATGTAAGCTTTCATTAATCAAGTTACAGAATAGCTTTTAGATTTTGAGTTTATTAGACATTAACAACACGATTAGCAAATAATCCATAAAAATACCAGAGTGTAACAATAGTTGCAGTAATTTAATTCAACAAAATTTGTAACGTAGAAAAGAACTTCAAATTTTATGCAAATTGTATTAATTTCAAACAGCGCTACAACACCGTGTGAATGGATGGAGTTTCCGGGCTTTGACTTCCAATGCGAAACAGAAACGCATCCAGATCGTGAAAGTGTCTGGAATTACTTGCACGCCTATGCCACGTATTACAACATAACAAATCGATTATTTTTACATCGTAAAGTTGAAAATGTTCGTTTAATGTCCAACGGCGAATGGGAAGTATTCGTAAAGAATATGCCCGACAATAAGCAATTGGAAAAACATACATATGACCATATTTTTATTTGCTCTGGTGTTGCTTCTAATCCACGTATACCAACCTTTAGAGATTTAAATTTATTCGAAGGACTTAAAATACACAGTCGTTTCTACCGTGAACCTGAAACATTTAGAGGTATTATAATGAAGTATATTAAATAAACTTGAATTTATATCAATTGATGTTGACAAAATATGGAATTTCAAGGCAAAAATGTACTAATCATCGGTTCAGGAGCATCGAGTTTGGATATTACTCGTCAACTTAAAGGCGTTGCTCGGAAAGTAGTGAAAAGCACGCATTCTACCATTGCTCCAACGGCATCACCTGGTATGTGATTGATTCTTGGATTGATTTTTCATTCCGCTCTTGATTTCAATGTATTTATTTAAAATTATATTGCATTATGGAAAAAAGGTTCAATCATCATATTTAAGGGTGAAGTACGACGTTTTGGAAAAAATGCAGTTAAATTTAAAGATGGTTCCTGGGAAAAAATCTCCGTAGTTATCTTCGCAACAGGTATTTAATTAGATTATATTAATTTACTTGTTCACTACAAGCGTCTTGAAAATGCCAGAAAAGTAGTAATACGTTCGGAATGGTATCGTTGAATCTCAGCGCTGAACATTGGTAATAATTTCCACTTGTGGTAGATTTCACTACGCATCGATGTTTTTCAGGCTATCTTTTTGATTATCCATTTTTGGATTCAACAAACTCCGGAATTGTCACAAATGGAGTTTATGTTGCGCCGTTGTATAGGCAAATTTTAAACATTGAAAATCCTACAATGGCTTTTGTCGGTATCCCCACCTGTGTCAGACAAAATCCAATGTATGACTTGCAGGTAAATTTATTGATCTTATCATTTTCACATTTTTTTAAAAATAAAAGTGATACTTTTGATAATAGGCACGTTTTGCATTAAAATTCTGGACTGGAGTCAAGCAATTGCCATCGATTGATCACATGATGGAGGACGCAAATAGAGTAGCAAATAGAAATCATCCTCATAAATTGGGACTTTATCAAGCGCAATACTTTGATGAATTGGATATTTGATAAGAACGAGTTAAAATCAATTCAGTAAAGCCAAATTTATGAAATGATGATATTTGTTTATCTTGATAATGAAAAATTTCAAATCAAATCTTTGTATTCATTACGTTGATATATACGCAATCTAGGGAGTAGACACAAACTAGAAAACTAAAAAAACTAAGAAAAATTAGCAATACTAAAGCCCGTGTCTCCCCCCTATAGCAATAAAATGAAATTATTGATGTTGAAAAGTGAAAACAGACTTTATTTTCCATTACACGTGTTGAAGAAGAATGCCGTAACATTTCTAATATTTGTTGCAGAAATATTATGCACGTAATCATGATATTATCTTGGCAATTTGTAAAAACTGGAATGATTCACATCTCAAAAAAATTGACTATATAGTTTGCCTGCTATTTTTGACTGTCTTAATGGTTGTCTCGTACAAAACAAGACGTTTTTATTTAAATTTAGTTTTGAACGATTTACTTTCTAAATCAACCAGTATGGGAACTGAGTTGAGCGTACGAAATTGTCCCCAACGAAAGACATTTTCAAAGATTTATTTTTTCGCCAGTAGAGTTCGATTCAATTCTGTTTTGTTGTTGTTTTATGTATAACATCAATGACATTCAAGAGGGACGCTACCAGACATGTGTACAAGATGTTTACTATCCTGTATAACATTTTTTTCCGAAGTGTACAAAAAATTTATCGAAGGGCCAAATTTGGTTGTACACCTGTTTAGAGGTATTGATAAAAAAAATTGAGTTCACGAATGATACACGACTGATAGTCAGTTTTTTTTTCACACGTGTTATTTCCAAGTGCTCTAAACTGAATATTCCAGCTATAAACAACAGCTGCAAATTCATTTCAAGTTACCATTGTGTTTACGTCGTATATACGATACGAATAATAGACGTAAGATAAAGACAAACAAAAATTTGTTTGTTTTTGAAAGTTATGAGGCTTGACATCTGGTTATTGGAAAATTTTGATACTCAACCATCTATGCGTGGATATAAAAGAGTATAAATATCAAGGCAATTCGTACAAAAACTTATTGACTGTGAATAATTTTTGCAAGTAAGTGATAATTTCTTTAATTTCAATTTCAATTTTTTTTTTTAATTTTCATACTGAATCTAGGTAATAATTGTTGAAAATAAAATGATGGTGTCATCAAAAGTAAGATGGATTATTTTGGCATTCGTCCTGAATTCATTGAGTTCATGTAAAGCCTTGAAAATAGCTGTAATTGGAGCCGGTGCATCAGGTCTAGCTGCTGCAAAAAATGCCATCGAACAAGGACACATAGTAGATGTCTTCGAAAAGACTGGGCAGCTTGGTGGAATATGGTACTATACAGACGATATAGGATTTGATGAATACGAAGTTGAAATTCATACTCCGATGTATAATCAACTAAGGTATGCACAGTTGAACAAATGTTATCGAAAAACAAAACGAATTTTCTGCAGCTTTTGTTAATTTTGACTAAGCTTACATAAGTAATGTGGTAATTTAAAAAAAAATTAATTATGTCATTTTCCCACAGTAAAACAACAACGCCGTATGAATGGATGCAATTCCCAGGCTTTGTCTTTCCAGATGGCACCGCAATGTATCCAGATCGTGAGGCTGTCTGGAATTACTTACATGCCTATGCCACGTATTACAATATAACAAATCGATTATTTTTACATCATAAAGTTGAAAAAGTTCGTTTAATGTCCAACGGCGAATGGAAAGTATTCGTAAGGAATATGCCCGACAATAAGCAATTGGAAAAACATACATATGACCGTATTTTTGTTTGCTCTGGTGTTGCTTCTAATCCACGTATACCAAACTTTCGGAGTATAGATAAATTCGAGGGACTTAAAATACACAGTCGTTTCTACCGTAATCCTGAAACATTCACAGGTATTTTATGCAACAAATATAAATATATCAATTGATGTTGACAAAATATCGATTTCAAGGTGAGGATGTACTAATTATTGGATCTGGAGCATCCGGTGTGGATATAACTCGTCAACTCATCGGCCATGCTCGAAAAATTATTCAGAGCAGTAGTAATCCAGTGAAACAAACTCAAGGTATTATTGGATAATTTAATGAAATAGAGCAATCGCTCAGTGTGTTTCGTATTTTTGTTAAATGAACTCAAAGAAACGATTTCACAAGTTGAAGTTCACATCGATTTGAGCTTCAATTCATTGATTTCTCATTCTGATATTTACTTTAATGCATTTATTGTAATTATGAAAGATTCACCCGTCATATTCAAAGGAGAAGTAGGACGTTTCGGAAAAAATTCCGTTGAATTTAAAGATGGTTCTCGTGCAAAAATCTCCGTAGTTATATTTGCAACAGGTATTTCACCATTTTATTTCATTTATTTCACTCGAATTTATATGGTAGATCAATTAATGTTGATGATTTCCAGGCTATCTTTTTGACTATCCATTTTTGGATTCGAAAAACTCTGGAATTGTCACCAATGGCACTTATGTTGGACCGTTGTATAAGCAAATTTTAAATATCCAACATCCTACAATGGCTTTCGTTGGTATTCCTACCTGTTACAAACACAATCCAATGTATGACTTGCAGGTATATTCATCAAGCTTATAATTGTTGCAATCATTTCTAAACAAAAATACCTCTAAATGAAATACAACCGACAATATTCCTAATAGGCACGTTTTGCATTAAAATACTGGACTGGAGTCATATATTTGCCATCGTATGATCATATGGAGGAGGACGCAAATATTTGCTCACAAAGACCATATCCTCATTTGTTGGGAACTCATCAAGAAGAATACTTGGCGGAAATCAATATTTGATGAACATAAGTTAAATTTAACTTAAAAAATTCAAATTCAAAAGCTGATAGTGGAATTGGTTGTTAATTTGTATTCTTTACCCAAACGAGGAAAATCCATATCTCTTGACCCAAATAAATACTAATAAAATTTAATGACCAATAAATCAAAATTCAATTAAAGAACAGCATAAAATAAACTTTCTTCATCATCATTGATTAAAAAAAATCGGGGTGACATCCAGTGATAATAGTAGATCTTTCAATGCTTTTCAAATAAACTGATAAAATTCAAGGTGCTTATTTCGGAATTGATAATTTGACGAGATTAATTTGGAAATGTGAATGAAGGCAAAATGCTATAATGGAGCACAAAAAAATGTTCAAAAATTCTCTCCTGAGACTTATATGAAAGTGACGTACCGCAATGTTACCTGTTATAATTTTTCGCATGGAAAGTAATGGTGACACAGTTTACGAAACGGATATTGTAATGCTATGTTTGCGAATAAATTTTATGCGATTGTATAAAGAGCGCACTGTGAGATAGGAAACAGAGAGTTAAGACGAAGAAAAAAGAATGTATCTCTTTAGCTGTGTAAGTTCCAGTTGCTGTGTATCAATTGGCTATATCTGAGCAAAACGGTAATTATTATTCCCTGGTCGAATTTAACAAAAAGTTATTCGTTGCGCAAAAGGAAAAAAACTTTTTTATGTAAATTAAATTACTTGCGCTGTGCATGAAAATCTATTAAAACGTCGAATCCGGGGCGAGATATCATTTTCGAATCGTCTTGAAGATGTTCAGCAAACGTGATGCTGGTACAATTTTCAATGCTTAAAACTTTTGAATCCAACGTAAACGACGCCAATTGAGAAACTAGCTGAAAACGAGGGAATGAAACAGCACTCGAAAGGAAGACGGACTGAGAGATATATATAGAGAGAGAGAGAGAGAGAGAGAGAGAGAGAGAGAGAGAGAGCAAAATTGTATGAGAATTTCAAAAGTCGCCGTGGTATTTAAAGTATTCAGAGAATGGCAAGCGTTTAACCACAATTTGTGTGTTCAATTTGAAAACCATGGCACCAAATCACACGTACCGCATAGTACATTATTAATAAAACATTTTAATGTATACACACAACAACTAAGGCAAATTTAAAGGCACAAAATTTACTTATACTTATGGTTTTTATGGTGCTAGACAATGAAAGAGCAAGTGAAGTCGTGTGTGTATGTGTTTGAGCAAGGCACAAAGCACATCGAAGTATTTGCATTATCCATTTGCTCACCCAGTCAGTAAACTTTGGCTGTATAATTTTTAACAAGGGCCGAAGAATGAGTCCGCAAAAAAGCCAAAAAGAAATACAAGTACGCAAATGAATGGCAAAGATATATACAGTGTCGAGAGTGGGAGAGAGGGAAAGAGTGAAAAAAGAGACCGCAACCACAACACATATATTTTCACATGAAAGCCGCATACCTCAAACCATTGCCAACACAACAAGCAAAATATTTACGAACAACTTAAAACTGATGTTCGAATTCATCGTAATATTCAATGCGGAGCGCATCTTATGTACATAAGGCATTGCATAACCAAATAATATCCGGCAAAGAAAAAAACCGGCAGCAACAACAAAGTACGCAGCAGCAGCAGTAGAGGCAAGCGTCAGAGAAAAAATGCGATTCGAATGACGAGAAGCCATTGAAAAGGAGTGAGCAAACGACAAGAAAAAACCGAATCTCAAAATTTATCATTATTATGCTGATTGATGTAAACTTTTATCTGGAATGGTGTATGATTATCATAATAGCATTTTCGATGAAGCCACAACAACAGGCAAACATCAGCGAAAGCTCAAGCGCACGCGAAAAAAGAGAGAGAGAGAGAGAGAGAGAGAGAGCAAAGTCTCCCGGGTGCTTCGCTTTTAACATTGTCTCGAACAAAGTACGAAGGAGACGATGACAATGAGCAAAGATTTCGGTTTGGTTGCCGAACCAAACAATGTTCCGATTTACCAATGGCATTTCGGAGTGCGGCAAATTGTGCTTGTTTACAAAATTTGCACCGAAATAATAAAAAAGCACCCACTACCACCACCGCCAATACAAACATACTCAAACGCTAAATCCATAGCGATTTTCTCAGCTCTTGACTCTCTCGTTCGTTTTATGAACAAAACTGATTTTATGTTATCATACAAACGCGTTATTCCTTTGCCAACCTCGGCATCATCCTTCAATTTGGTTGTGATGAAGATTTCTCCCTCTCTCTCTCTCTCTCTCTCTCAGCTCGCTCGCTTTATCCTTCCTATGTGTGTAGTATTCGCCAACACAAATAGTGGCAAAAGTCGTTTGGTTGTCGTAAAAGTAAAAGTAAGACGAGGGCTAAGTACATTTTCTATTCGATCTGCTTGTTCGAAATATAATCCATGATCTAGCCAAATAGAGCTCTTGTTCTCCGTAGTCGTGTATAATAGAAATGTTCGGCATGTGCACGCTAGATACCATGCAACTTTTTATTTTCAATTTATCACAAGCATTTCGGGTTTTTCGACTGCGATGTGAATATGTTCGTCTTATTTCATTTCGTTAGGAGTTTAGTTAGTGTACGTGAATCGATCGATTGTCATAAATCACGGTAATGCTTCAATGCAAAATATGTTCGTAATCAGCTCATCTTATCCTCTTAAAGTATTTTTCCGCCGAGAACATATGTTTAAGAAGACATCGAAAATGCATGACGGCACACACATCACAAAAAAATCAATCGCAAATTTGCGTACAATGCTTTTATACTTGACTTCGAACAAACGAACGAACAAACGAATTGAATATGAATGCTTATTTTACTCGACAAATTGAACACGGAGCTTTTGTCAAACATAAAAATGCGGAACAATAACAAGTAACTGTTTAAGCGAATAACAAAGAAACAAAAAAGAAATGCTTGATGCTCGAATATATTTTGACGACTAGATTGAAGCCGGAATAAAAATCAGTTCGACAAGCATAAAACGTAGAATGACAAGGAAATAGAACTCATTTCTTGGAAAGCGTTGATAAAAGAAATTGAATCATCTCAATCGATTTAAAGCTGATTTTTACCTCTATTTTTGGATGGAGGTTCAACGAATTTATCTAAGGTAAGTAGGTGAAATGCTATTTATAAAATTGTGAACTGACACATTCAGTGCATTCCAAATGGGAGTGATGAAAAACGTAAAAAATACTTGTTTAGAGACTTCAAATTTGTCATTATTTCCAATTTTAGTAGACTTTAAATTGCATGAAGATAAAAATGCATAACATTCTATTGAAGAATGGTTTAATCAGGAATAGCGATAGATTGATTCAATTTGCTAGTGAAAAGAGGTCGGTGCTCAAAAAATTGAATATTGATAAATAAGTTATCGAAGTAGAGACCCACAGACATGCGAGAAAAGATCCGACGGACGAATACATTTTTCTGTATAACAGCGGATCACCAAACTTTTTCGGAGAAACTGACAGATTTTTCCGGACTTCTGTTTAATATTGGGGTATCCGCCGAGGGAGCTATGACCATTACTTATCTAATAATGAAAAGAATTTGGCTTCACATCGGTTTGGTTTAATGTTATTTCAAGGAAATCGTTTTAATTGTCAGAATACAAAATATTTCTTAGAAAATGTCAACGTTCAATTTAATTTACGATACTTTTGTTAATGTCTTCATTATCCGTCGGTTATATCGCTTAAGTTCAATTAACAATGGTAAAATATGCGATCATAAACAGGGTAGACAGTATCGTCATCGGTAATAAATTTCCGGCTTTTATTGTGTCATCACCGTCAGCTGAAGTATTTTTTTTAATAGACGCTTTAAACGTCATTATTCTTTATTGAAATTGAAAAGTTCGTCTGTACGCGTGCAACATGTTGCCGCGAGGTCAACTCATATGTTGGCGGCAAGAGAAAAAAACGCAATTACAATTGTCTTGTTTTTTGGCTAAAATAAATGAAAGAGATTGCATTCTTCAATAGTAATCCATTTTTCAATGACAACTTTTTCAATACTTTTTCAATTTGTACAAAAATTGTGATCGGTAATTTCGAGTTTTGTCAGTTGCCACAAAAATCACTCACCGTATATGTCTTTTGGTTGAAATAGAACATTTTAAGTGATTTCAAGAAGTGGTACATGTCCCACGAGATGTGTGTAAGTATTGGAAGTTAAAAAAATATAGCGTATAAAACCAAAACGGGTCGCTTAAATATCAAATTCAAAATATGGACGGTTCTTTCAAATACACATTTTTAACGAAGTTTACAAAATTGTCTAATCGCATTTGATATTAAAATTACGCTCAATTTGCATTTGAATGGAAATGACTTAATGACACAATACGTTTGAAATGGAAAGAAGTGTGAATTGTGAATTATCACAAATTTCATTTGTTCAAATCTTGTATATCATGTGTGAACAGTGTGGCGCATATACAAAAGAGATAATAATATACAACGGAGAAATCGTGCACGATACGGAATTGAATTGTATGAAGTACTTTCGTTAGATGAGAGTTCTGCTGGGAGCAGCAAAAGTCGCATTTACACTAAAATTAAAATGATATTTTAAATGGTGTTCAACTTTTTTTCTTTCCGTTGTAGAATATTTTTTCCCAAATAGTCATTGAAATTCTATGAATACATCCGTTTAAAAATGACATGTACAACATGGTAGACGTTAATTTCAATATCTCGTCATATATAGCTTGGAATTTGTTCATTAAAATCCTGGCCTCGTAATTCTGTGCAACCATTTAAAATTGGCACTTTTACGCGAAATTCTCTTTCTCATGTAAGGCGCTCGTGTTGGGCTGTTAGGATTCACTTGCTTCATCTCACTCTCCTCCTCTCTCTCTCTCTCTCTCTCTCTCTCTCTCTCTCTCTCTCTCTCTTCAGCACCGTTCTCAACTATAACAGCAATTTGCAATTAACGTAATGAGACTAATTTAGGAAGTTTTCACTGTGAATCCATTACTGTTCGCCCACAAGACCAAGACACTTCCAACCTCCGAGATATAACAAACCAAATGCTTATTCACGGCTTTTAAGTTTTATGAATTACTGAAAATGCCACCGCTTCATAATTTGTTCGCTCTCTATATCTCTATCATTTTCTTCCCTTTGTCGCTTAGTTCATATTGGGTGAAC